TAGCAAGGTGTGAAAAACATGATGATCAAAAAAAAAGGAAAAGGAAAAAAGTGATGAAGTAGAGGTAGTCCTCGACTTACAACAGTTCACTTAGTGACTGTTCAAAGTTACAATGGCACTGAAAAAAGTGCTCCCCAAGCCACAGCCGAGCAAGGCACCTGCCTGCCCACCCGGCGGCGCTCTTCCTCCTGTCCGAGGTTTTCATTGTTGTGAGCATTTCTGTTGAGGATTGGCAGCAGGGGTGGGGTGAGGGGGTTGTTTGGTTTTTATTCCCTCCATCTGCTGGGTGGTTGCAGCAGGTTTTAACCACTTCACATGATCCTGGGACACTGTGACCATCATAAATATGAATCACTTGCCAAGCATTTGAATGTAAATCACAAGATCCTGGAGAGGCTGCAACATTCCAGCTGATCGGCACTTCTTCTGGGCTCAGCAGAAGCACCAGGATCAGCACCAAGCTCCAGCTGGAGCCTGGCGCTGATCCTGGTGCTTCCACTGAGCTTGACAGCCCCGAAGAAGTGCCAATCAGCTGGAAAGTGGCACTGATCCTGGCACTTCCGCTGAGCCCTGACAGCCCTGCAGCTCCAGCCATCTCTCGCTCAGGCTTGTGCGGTGCTGCCACCGGTTCAGCTCATTCCCCTCCCCCACTACCACTTTTCTAGGATGGTCGCGTACCACCTGTCAGGTGCCAATGTACCACAGGTGGTACCCGTACCACTGGTTAAAAAGCCCTGACTTAGGGAGTTTACTGTGATACAGAGCAGTCATTCTGAGGAACACTTGCCTGTTTCAGTATGTGATATATTTCTAATAAAAAACCCTCCCCTTCCCCAAACACTTCCCAGTTTCTGTAACTCAGGTACCCAGAGCAATTTACATTGTATTTGACCTGCACTTCATGACATGTGACTGGAATACATGTACACTGGGTCAGAAACCCAAAGCCCATGTGGTTGATCAAATTAGAGGGTAGTCACCAGAACTCTTCCAAAGATTTTTTTCATCAAATTAGCCTTTTAATATTATCCTTTAATATTAACTAAATATTAATTAGAGAAATTAACTAAATGTAATTCCACATTTAATTACAGTTAATATTATTCAAATTTAGCATTTTAAAAAGCATGTCCCTTAAAAAGTCATTGTGCGACTCCCAAATGCTAGACTCTAGAATGTCTCTTGGCAAAAGAATGAGTCTTACCTGGAAAAATGGGGGGAAGGAATGGGTAGGGGTCATGTACTACCTTCATATTTCCTGGATAAAGTCAGTAGGATTAAGCTGTTGGACTCAACATCAGAGAGACCTAGATACAAGTCTACCCTCGGCCACAGGAGCTCACTACTTTGTAGAAGTCGTGCTCTCTTTCTCTCCAACTTGCCACATAGGACCGTTGAGCTCCTTGTGGACTATAAATCTTACAAATAAACAGAGGGGAAAGAACTTGTGTACATGGGAGATCTAAGTACAGAACTGGAAAATAGTGTTATACTAGAAGAGGCTATGTTGATGGAGGCAGTAGTTATGAAATTGGAAGAGAATTTGAGAGATGAAAGTAGTAAGAGTCACTGAAATTAAACTTGCTTCCTGCTGATGAAAATCCAGATTTTAGCAGAACATGAGTTTGTTCAAAAGGTTCATGTTCTTTCCATGAGTGAAAACTACAAAGAGAAGATGATGTTTATCTATGTATGTTTTTGTTTTTTATAATGTTTGTTTTTGTTTTTAATCCATGCTCCTCTGTTTATGCTTTTCTGTATATATGCAAAGTGCCATATTATACAGATGTCACAGTAAATTCATTTATAAAGGCTAGATATATTTGTTTATTAACAAAACAATTCATAATGGTTCTCCTGCACTAGCAACCTTCAAGCAATTTAGGAAATTATCTCTGAAAATAAGAAATCTAGATGAGTGAATAGAATTTTTCCTAACATTGAGCCTTGTCTTTAAACAGGAGCTTGCACACCCTATCTGTATAACCTGACTTCATTGTTACTTCCTAAGTTCAATTTTTTTAGTTAGACTAGAATATTGAATTCACCAAATTAGAAGTTGGGAAGTAGTTTCATTCAAAGAAACCACTGGCGATTCTCTTTTGGATGAAATGGTTTCATCCTTCTTTTAAGTAGGTGAAGTTATGATTTATGAGAATGAATGTGAATGGCATTTCATCTGGAGAAAATGGACTAACAAATTAAAATTAACACTAAAACAGAAACATTTTTCACGAATGAAGGTAAAAAATAAGTGTCCCAGGGAATGTTGCAGGATCCAATCTCAGTCGGTCAGCGGGATCAAAGATATATTCTTCCACACTCATGCTGGAGTCCATTCTCAGGAAACTTCTCTCTCTCTAGAATATGTGAACTGGACTGTTCTACATGTTGTATAGGCCTGGAGGAACGTTGTCCATGGGGTCGCGATGGGTCGGACACGACTTCGCAATTAACAACAACACGTTGTATAAATATGGTTCCCTTTTACCTGTTAATTGGGTTGGTGATGGCTGGCTATTAAGACATTAATTGTAACTTCCTTGTGACATTGAAAATTACAATTAGCAACTTAATAGTCAGCCATCAACACCCCAAATAACAACTAAAAGCTACATACAGCCAGGAATCATATAAATACAATGTGTAGAACAGCCAAGTGTACACACATTCTGGAGACAGAGAAATTCCCTGATGGTGGGTTCCAGCATAAACCTGAGAGCTTGGAAGATTAAACCTTTGTTCTCGGTAACCAACTCAAATTGAATCCAGACACTTGTTTTATTTTATACATTTCTTGTTTTCTTATAGGAAAACCCAGTCATTTCACAAAAATTGACTTAGATATTAGATATTAGATAACCTTTATTGTCATTTTTTACTGTGGGCACAACGGCACACATTAAAAATGAAATTTAGTTGCTTGCTCTCAAAGTGTACACATATATAACGCACATTTAAACATACTATATACAACATATGTATAGACCTCCACCCTTACATATAAGTAACATATAACTATTTACTTCTTTGATAGATTGCAAATTTCCAGTGCAATCCTGTATATGGTAACTCAAAATTACTTCCTTTGTATTCAGTGATTCATATTACTAAGTGATTATCATAAGAATTGAAATTTTACTCATGTTTTGCTTAAGTATAATTGATTTCACTTAGTTCCATTCTACAATCCTTGTGGATTTACTTAAATGAATTCCCAAATTTTAATCTGTAACGTGCAACTTTGTGCTTTCATTAGATTTACAATACGAAGAAAACACAACTAATTGTAGTGAATGATTTAAAACAGATATGCTTCTCAGATTGTAGGCTTCACACGACCAATATTACATATAATTCCCACATGCAGATCACGTTTTACATATTTGCAGATCACTGCATGCACCTGCAGTATTATATGTGTATATCTGATTGCCACAAATTGTGACATAAATGCAGGATTTGTTTAATTTTCTACACAGAAATGAGTTTTCACATAGGACTTTTATAATGTATATAAAGTAGTCATTCTTCACAAAGCATTCAATAAAGTATCAATCCCCCAAAGTTTCAAATCATTATGAAATTATCACAGGAATGCAAAATTCAGTTTTCTCTACAATAAGGTTATAAGTTCAAATGTTTGTGTTAACATGTCCTTGTTTTAAAAACGAAACAACTTAAGTTGTATTGGTCCGTATGAAAATTCTGAAATGCACAGCAAGGCCATAGGCATAAAGAATGAGAGCAAACTTTGAACCGCTTCAATCAGACAACATTATAGAACAGTGATGGCGAACCTTTTAGAGACTGAGTGTCCAAAACACAGCCCCGGCCCCACCCTGCCGCCTGCCCCTGCTTTGCTCCTCCACCCCCACCCCACCCACCCTGCCAATGGCCACCCCGCCCCGCCCCATTCCCAGCCCACTGCACTGCCCACCCCACCTTCCCACAGGGCCACTCACTGCTTCCACAGGCCACTGCAGATCACCCAGGCGGCCCAGCAGCACCATGGTGGCCATGCCCTCTGCCCACAGCCTGCAGCATCAACTGCGCGCAAAGGGCAGAGTCTTGTCCCCGCTGCCCAGCTGCTATGTCCTTGGCTGTGCTGCTCCATGCAGGCCGCACTTGGGGGCGACTCTCCTCTGGGGGGCCTGCTGGTGAGGAGGGGGCCGTGGGGGAAGACAGGACTGAGGCGATGGCCTGGGTGCCCACAGAGAAGGCTCTGAGTGCCGCCTCTGGCACGCCACCACTGTTATAGAAAATCAGAGAGCCGAAGGTTTAACATGGACAAAGAATCTGGCTGATTATATGAAAAGTATAAAGAATGCATGGTCGTAGTTTTAAGAGAAGTGAAGAGACATTCAGACAGTGGTCTGCAGGAATAATTAAAGAACTCACAATAACTGAGTTCTCTATTTCTGAAAATATATAGTCCTATAAAAATTTGGGCTATTTTCCAGGGTCTATGAAAGTGGGCCCTTCCCATAAATTCTGTACATTCTGTTAAAAAAACCTATCCCATTAAATAAAACAATGAAGAATTAATCATCTGTCAGAGGTTCAGATAGAGAGAGTAATATTGAATGAAATATAATGGTTTTTGGCAGCATACCAAATGCCAAAAGAGGAATCCAGGAAAACTTTAAGACCAGTTAATCGTTGAAATAAAAGAGAAAGAAACTTTCAATTCACCCGTTTCTTGATGTTTTCTCTAATGCTAAGTAGATGAGAAATTATTGAGAGTCAGGTATATTTAGTATGAAGAAGATAAATCAAAGATAGGCATGATCATTATCTCAATATGTGAAATGGTGCCATGGAAACAGAAACAGAAACCCAGAAAATTCCAGGTGACTTTGACCAACAGTAGAACATTGCATACTAATTGCAATAAATTCTGAATGTGATGTGTTACATTTCATACATAGCCCTCTCTTCTGCACTTCCTTTTAGGAGATGGAGAAAGAATACCAGGACAAAGTGTGGAAAAACATTTTAATATATTTAATCTTATTATACATTTCTTTCTAAATTACAAAGTCAACAAATTGCAAGTACAGTTTGCTACAAAGCTTTCTGTAGGAAACCTCTTCTATAAGAAAATACATCTCATTAAACATTTCCTGTAAATAAATTATTTCAAATACTAGATATGGGGAAAAATAAAGTGGGGAAGGGCATGCAGATAACATTTCAATGAGGCAGGGATGTACTTTGTTACTATTAGCTGTGCTGAGAGGGTGAGGATTCTTTCCAATAATCTTGCTAAGGTAAAAGGATGTCAGTAACCTGCTTCCATTATTTAAGCAAAGGAAGTGACACAATTGGTCCATCTCCATCCTATTTTCATTGTATTGAAGTAAACTGAATAGAGCTTCCTGTATTAAACTCCTAAATCATTTGAACTTTATAAACTTTAAATAAGCTTCTATATAAGTGTCTTATTACTGAGAAAAAAAATTAAATATTCAATCTGGTGCTTCAGAACTAATAATCTTTTGGTAGCAGGAACGATTGATGTGCTTCTTCTAAAAACAGTTTTCTAATTTCTTCCTCAAGCTGCTTTTCTTGAATGAGATTCCAGTGAGAAGTTTGCCAAAGAAAATACACATCTGAAACATAGATGGATGGGGCAATGTCTTGGGATATTTTAAGCAGAACAATTAAGCCAGAAAAAGCTAAACCTGCATTGTCTCTCTACTATCTGTCAAAGCTACTTTTTATTTTAAGCAATTCTGTCTAACATTCATAAAACAAATTTGCAAGTAATATCCTTTTTTCCTCCTAGATCATGTACATTAAAATAAACTACATGAATAATATGGGAGGGAATTAGAACATATAATATCCTATTAACACTGGAATAAGGACTCTACCAACTGGACTGTTAGCATAGTTTCATGGTTACTCTGAATTCCATCAAAGGTTTATGGAATTCTGTTTCTAAAGCAAAAACTTAGAGAATTATCAACACCTCTGCCAAAATCCACTTTCTTGCCTTTTTTGTGTATAAAAAACGAAGGACAGGCTGCAGATCACTTTACCACTACCATATGCTTTTAGATAATTTAGGTACTTTCTGAAGTTGCAGTTTGGCACTGAAATGGAAAATGGTTTGAAAGTATTTTTTAATAGACATGAAAAACATGTAGCATTTGGCTGATATTTATTTGTGGGTTTTGAAATATAAATTAATTACAGATAAACTTTAATTTTTTGCAAAACATGGTCATTTCATGGCTTTAGAAAGTCAGGGAAAAAAATTGCTAGCTACAAAAGACATTGTTGCTATTGTTGTTGGTGGTTATTTTTGATTACTCCATTTTAAACAGATATTACAAATGGCATATTGCCTCAGCATATTAAACTCACATGAAGGAGACCCCCAAATAAAACAAAAATGAACAGAATTAGAAACACACACACAAACACACACACACACACAATTCTTTTGTCCTTTTAAGCAAAGAGGAAACATCAGCCTCCTAAACTTAACCCAGATCATATCATGGGGATATCAGCACTGTGAAAGAACATACAAGGATGGTGAATGGGGAGGGAAAGAGCAGAAATTGGTGTCTATTTTACTAGCCCATTAATACTGCTGAAGTGAATTCCACTGGCATTCATTGATATACATACAGCAATCCAGTAGTGCCAATGCTAACCACATTCCTAAGGTGCATTCAGAACATATTCACTGTATTCTTATGACACATCTCCATATTAATCTTAGTGCTTTTAAAGTTATTGCTATTTTTGTGTTTTAACACTGATATCTCATGGTTTATGTTCTGATCTAAAACCCTTATTAACATATTATTTCGCAAAACAGGTTTAATGATCCTGCCCACTTTAAGGGCAAAAATGAAGAATAATTCATAATGCATATTTACAACCAGCATCTTAGCATATCATTCCATTTTGGATATAGTAATGAATAGTCTGTTTTCACTGTAAGTCCCTGTGGCTATGAATAAACCAATAAACTAAGTTAATGGCAGCCATTAGCTACAATAAATGAAGAAGAGCCAGTTTGAGTTATGAAGTCTGTTTATATCATTTATATGAATTTAGATAAGTGTTTTTTTTACTGTTGGCAATTTTAATATATGGGACTTCAAAACCCCAAATTCCCCAGCCAGTATAGCAAAGTTGCTAAGGTTGAGAAATATGAATCTAGATTGTAAACCTAGTTTAACTGTCTCTATTCATGTATCTTGGTGGAGATTAAAAATCCCTATGCAAGTGATGGACTTGGATTGTAAAACAATAAAGTCTATAGTCACACATGCAGTTACTTCCTCCTGTATTTCTAATACTTTTAGTTTACCGGGGACTTTTTGTAGTTATTATTCAGTACACAATAATGTGTTGATAGAAATATATGTTGGCAAAGTCCTGCTCTGTATTGTAAATATATCCTATTTTATCATCAAAATGGGATAAACTACCTAATATGGAGAAACCACAAGACTATCAGTAGAGCTTTGTTGCAAATCTTTGGCCCCAATGTAGAATGGTGTCACACTAAAAATAACATCCATCTGTTCTCAGTCGTACTTCCAAGCAGAATTATAACACATGTGGGGATGATGCTTTTTCTTGCCACAAAAGATACTTGGGCCAGTCATTTCTTATTTACAATTATTTTTTCCACCATAGTCTATGCAGTAGACACTTATCAAGGCCTGCTGGTGACAATTTTCAAATCCCGCATCAAATCTTCTGGCACATATGAAGTCTTGCTTTTGAAGAATAAGTGGCATCTTTCCAGATTTTACATGATAACCCTTTGGCACAGTCACATCGCTGGAAAATCTCCAAGCCATGGGAACCTTTCTTCCGCTGTTTCGTGCATACCTCTCCTTGGTGTAGCACAGGCTTGCAAATTTTGGTCCAAAAATGGCGAGCGCAACAAAACCCTTCTGTGCAATCAGAGGACCTTAAGCAAGGGTCTCCTTCATGACCTAAAAAAAACCAAAAACCTTCATTAGTTAGTAATCCTAGGAAGGACAAATAAAACAATTGGGCAGCTATTTTCCAAATATATTCTTTTTTTGTAATATTTTATTAGTTTTCTACATTTACAATTCATAAGGGCTTAGTAAACAACATGTTGTCTGGGTCCATTTGTTTTACTTAATAATACACATTAAATTCCTAATCTCTACCCCATTTTTGCAGCCATTCATAAAATACATCCCATATTTGAAAATATTCTGTGTCTTCTTTTTCTTTAATCTTCAATGTAAGTCTATCTATTTCTGCACAGTCCAGTATTTTCTTGATTATCTCTTCTTCAGATGGTGTTTCTTCATTTTTCCAGTACTGAGCAAATACAATTCTTGCTGCTGTTAATACATGCAATAATATACACCTTTTTATCATATTTTCCTGATCATATACCTAATCAAAATAGTTCCAATTTAAAATCTACATGTTTTTTAATATCATTTCTAGCCAAATCTGTATTTTTGTCCAAATTTTTTTGCTTTAGGGCACATCCACCAAAAATCGTAGTACGTGCCTGATTTTTAGTTGCACTTCCAACAGTTACTGGATATGTTTTTAAACATTTTTGCTAATCTAGCAGGTGGTAAATGCCATATATAAAACATTTTATATAAATTTTCTTTATAAGCACTTGCCATTGCCAATTTATAATTTCTTTCCCAAAGATTTTGCCATTTTTCTAATTCTATATTGTACCCAAAATTTTTTGTCCCATTTTTGTGCCATTTTTAAATTTAATAGAAAATTATACAGTTTCTTAATCAGCTTTTCATCCGAAGTCAACAATATCTGATCTAACATTGTCTGGTCTTTATACAAAACCATGTATCTTAGCATCTTTCTCATATCTCAGCTGTATTTGCAATTGAGGCCACTATGATAAATCAATACCCTGATCTTCCAACTCTTACAATTTTCTCAGAGTTAGTTAGGTTTGGGTGAACAAAAGTTTCCATTATTGAAAGCCATCCTGGTATTTTCATATAAACTTTAGCTTTTATCTTTTCCCATACTAAAAGCAATGTGTTTCTTACATAGTGATTTTGGCATTTTCCAAATATATTATGATCAATATAAATTTGTTTAAATGTATCTGCAAGATCTTTCAGGCCACATAAGGAGAACATTTTATTTATGGTTAGAGAAGTTGAATTGAATGGCAACCATTCTTTTCTTTATCAGAATATATTCTAGTCCCATAAATAAATAAACAAGCCAATAATTTATTCCATATGTAGCTCAATTATGAACACTTCTATAAGAACTATTAAATAGTGGGACTTACAGAATACTGGTGACCATTTTTATCCATCTCTCCCCTTTCCCACTGTTTTAAATAAGAGAGAATATGCTATGAAGCTATCTGAAATAATCATTAGTATAAAACTTTGATCACACAAAGCTCAAACTAATTATTCCTGAGGAATATGGTACTTAGTGGGAAAAATTTCCTCAGTATTTAAAGATATGGGAAGGATGCCTTCAAATATGATCTTATATATAGTTGGGCACAGGACCAACATAGAGGATAGAGAAATAGGCATTATCAACATTCAAAGAGATGCTATTTTTCTAAGGGTCTCCTGTTTCTCACCTAAAGGGAGCCTATCATTTAAGAGAATCAAAATGTTAATACATGAATTTACTGTTTTTACAAAAAGATGTTCTTCCCTTCTCATAAAACCACTTCAGACTGTTTATAAATCAAGCTATCTTACCTTTTGCGTGTGTCAGCTTAGACTGTCCTTTTCCTAGATTTTGCCAGCCCAAATCCTTGGTGGGATAGTGATTATTTTTTTTATTACGAGGTACTTCTAGAGCTGGAATATGGGGTGTGAGAATGCTCTCAGTCACTGGTATACAAATACCTAAATCAATGAATGAAGCAAGTTAGAGCTGGAAATTACAACAGTTAATAACATATCTGGAATGCCACAAACGAAGAATCTGTTAATTTTCATGAAGAAAATGAATACCCAAATTGATGTATGTTTGATGTCTTCCGTGGTTGTCCCATACAGCACTGATTAATTTTATTATCAGGAAACTGCAGTTGGGGTACTGAGGCTGAGAGGCTGGTCTTTAGCAGGATTTCAGTTTCCAACCAATAGAGTGTTTGGATTTAATGTATCAATCAGTCACTAAGTTGAGAACGAACAATTTGAAAGTAAGATTTGACAACCTGCAGGCAGTGGAGCTCATGCATCTGCCCAGTCTCATTCTGCAGTCCCCAGAGCATTCCTGAAACTGGTATAATTGCAATGTTGAGCCCATTTTTGGTTTGGAAAAAACAAAAGGATAAAATGAATGTCCTAAACCCAAGAACCATCTATTTCAAGACACCAGTTTATGGGCTGCCAGTGTTACTTTAAAAAGCAAGTCTGGCTCAACACAATATATTTAATTAGATTAAATCCAAATTTCAGTAGAAACCATTCCACAGGAAATGTATTGCTAAATATGAATGACTGACAACAGTTAATATATTAACTATATATACTTTGTTATTCTTCTCACTTGATTTTATATGTATGTATGTATATATGTGTATGTGTATACAGGTGTGACCTGTTCATGTGCAACAATTCATGATTTTTTTCATGCCTGAGGCATCTCCCCTCCAAATTTGCAAATATAAAATTTTCATGCCATTTCTGGAAGAATCGTGATAAAAGATTTGGTGCAATTAAAATAAACTCTTTGATGATAGTGATAATAATAAAATTTTAGAGTTTTCCATAGACATTATATTGCTGATTCCAGATATACAAAGAAGTAATGATTTTCATATAGGATTCTCTATCAGACCTCCAATAATGCTGGTATCTAAATAATGATAGTCCCAGGTAAAATAATTTCCTTATATATTTTTTCTTGTATCACTGATTCAATTTGTTGAAAGAAAAATTACTTTAGAAATTATTTCAAAGGATTTGATCAAAATTAGGTTCTACTGTACTTATTCAAGTGCAAGATAGTCAAAGAATGTGTGCATGTCTGAATGAGTGGGACAGAGAATGCCGTCTTTCATTTCACTCTCCATAAATTGGATGGAGAATTCAATTTATGGAGCCTATGGAAGCCTATGCTTGAGTAGATTTCTTTCCTGAAGAGACTGGCACTAACACTGTAGATTAGGTAAAACACTATGCCCAATGTTACAGTAGGACAAAAGTCCCTTTCATTGAAGTGGTGCAATGGCTCTCAAGTTCTGTAATAGTATGACCCCTTAAAATGGCAATGTGCATGACCTCCATGAATAAAAGGACAATTTTAATGAACAAGAAAAAGATTTACCATTTGCTTTTAATAATTAAACTTTAAACTACATATCAACCAAACCAATGAAATCACCATGCAATGTTACTAAAGAATTAGAAATAAAGAAATCCCTAATACAAATTAAAAGCTTATCTTTAATAGGAAGGATGATATAACTTGATATAACTCCAGAAATCTGGCTTTCATTTTTGAAGATAATTGCTCTTACTCATTAAAGTAAAGTGACAGGAAATAGAGAAAAGGTTATTTCATGGCCTTCAATAAGCTCATCTTAAACTGCTCTTAAAATATGAAAGTCTGCAAAACAGTAGAGGCTGTTAAGTTACTTTTTGTGCTTTTCTCCCAGGATAGCCATGCTGTGATAACAAACAGCACAGATTCTTTCTCTTCCAACCTAGTGATTGGTGGTTACTACACCCTCCTTTTACTCTTCTCCATGCTGTAACATTTCACCCCTTCCTCTACTCTCTTATTTCTCCTTCTTCAAAAGTGAGTTGTGAGATGGTCAGAAGTTTGCAAGGAAGCCACATCCCTCCAGGTAAGATTATTCCACATTTGAAAGACCAAAAAGAAAAAAAAAGAAAAAGAGAGAGAGAAACAGTGGAGTAATGGGTTAAGAAGGAATGTCTAATTCAGTGGTGGCAAACCTATGGCATGGGTGCCAGAGGCGGCACTCAGAGCCCTCTCTGTGGGCACCCATGCCGTCACCCCAGCCCCACCTCCCCCCATGACCCCCTCCTCACCAGCAGGCCCCCCGGAGGAGAGTTGCCCCCAAGTGCGGCCTGCACGGAGCAGCGCAGCCAAGGACATGGCAGCCAGGCAGCGGGGACAAGACTCCGCCCTTTGTGTGCAGTTGATGCTGCGTGGTGTGGGCAGAGGGCGTGGCCTCCATGGCACTGCTGGGCCACCTGGGCAATCTGCGGTGGCCCGTGGAAGCAGTGAGTGGCCCTGTGGGAGGGCGGGATGGGTGGCAGGGTGGGGGTGGGCTGGGAGTGGGGCGGGATGGGGCAGCCATTGGTAGAGTGGGTGGGGTGGGGGGTGGAGTGGGGGCAAAGAAGGGGTGGGTGGCAGGGCAGGGCCAGGGCCAGGGCCATTTTTGGGGCACTCAGTCTCTAAAAGGTTTGCCATCACTGGTCTAATTCATGAGAAAGAAAGTTCCATTGCAATTTTGATAATTCATGAATTCAAGAAATCAACTGTTTCTCCATTTATTTCTCTCATTCTAAAATGACCATTAATGTTCCCAAAATGAATCCGCTTCATACTTGGCAAATCTTGAAGAACAAATATGAGAATCAATCACTAAAATATTTGACACTTTTCATTATATTTTTTTTTTTTAAAAATTAAGAGTCATGCAAATACCATTGTTACAGCGGTTTCCAGGACAGCACATGCCATCTCTATGACAACGTTTCTTCTTCCTTCTACAAACCATGCAGGCAGATGTCGCTTGATGGGGACTGTGGCAGTACTTCCCAACTTCACATTCTTTATCATTAGTGCAAGGATAAGCCTGTGGGTAGTTATTAAAAAGTGTCATAATGAGTCAACAACACTGTAAAAGTCAAAACAAGTGATCGTGCAGGCATAATTTCAGATACCAACTTAAAGGTTATTTGTACTTTCAGTATTCAGTAATACTGAAATATCCAGATTTATGGCCTTCCAATCATTATTTGTCATAACTGGTAGCACATAAATTATATTTTGTTGTGTATTAAGGACTATCATAGAGGTAAGGTCAAGAAGTAAGTTTGGATGGGTCATTTTCTATATAATGTATATAATGTTATAAAGATATAATGTTATATCTTGCAAGAATAGTATTGAGATACTGATAATAGTTTCTCCAACTGAAACAAACAACATACAAACAAACAAAACAAAAGTCTAATTTTCCCATAGAAATATAGGAGAGCTTCACATGTCAGTATATTCATAAGTGGTCCTTTGCTTAAAAGCGAATCTCTGCATTCATAATCAGTTAAGCTGCAGGATTTACCTTATTTCGTATCTGTAGACAAAAATGCATATCAGTTCTCTCCCATAAATCTTTCCTTCTCTAAGAAGCCATGATTTGGCAAAAAAAAAAAAATCCCTACAGTTAAAGCAGTCAAGGAAATTTATTGCAGCTCCTTTGATCTTTGATCAAAATTTAGCATGAGAGCCATTTTGCTTTCAGAATACCACTAGGGCACTTCTTAATGTGAAAAATTACAAGGGAGTGTTAAAGATAGAAATATTGCAGATAAATAGACATATCTGTCTATAGATTAGTTTCTTTTTTAAAAAAAACCTGTTATGAGACAAAAAAGCATCAAGAAAAATCATATCTTTTACTTCTAAAAAAATTATGAGCCTTATCTAGATGGGGTAAATTTTGTCTGTGTTCCAACAATCTGTCCATTGATGCTGAATTTAAGAGAATCAGCTGTTATTTGGGGCTGTTTCAAACTTCTTTGAATAAATTAATTTCTGAGGGGGTTTTTTGTATCTTTACATAGTACAGCGCATACGTTGTTTATAAGGAAGCACCTCTCTCCCACTTCATCTTTCTTAGGAATGTTGTTGAGAGGATATCTGACTGGCATCAAGAGTTATATTTTCTGTTATACTTCATTTTCCCAGAAGGGAGCCATTCTCATGCTAAAACCATTGCTTTCTGTCAGTAATATTTTTTATTCACAAAAGCATTTTAAGATTCACAATGCTTGAACTAGTAAAATCTAAAGAACTAGTAAAATCTCGTAATTCATAACTCCATGAATGAACCTATGCATATATAAATACTGAATTAAACAGTTGAAAAAAATACTGAAACAAGGATAACTTAATTTAAAGCAATTCCATTTCTCAGGTCAAACCAGCTTTGAAATTGACAGTGTTGGTAATTTCATTTTTTTCATTTCATATCTGCCCCACTGATGTTTTCTTTTCCCTCCCCTGTGTATCTTTAACATACTGAAATCAATATTGCAATTTTTAAGCACATCACTGTTGGCCATGTTACATCACAGAAACTTATGAAGTCTAAGAATACAGATTCGGTTACATTATTAGAGTCTTTTTGGAGTGGGCAATCATAATATATTATGGTTGGTTGCACAGTCAGCCAGATGTTTAGACTACATTTGGTATTTTTATCCACCTATTGAGTCATTTCCAAGGACCTGGAATAGGCAGATATTGTTATTTGATAGTGTTAAAGATATTGACACAACATGTAAGCTATTATAAGTAAAGCTGCCTTTTGCAATTGACGGATGGTGATTTTATTATTAATGATATACTTTTTGGCAGGAAATTTACCATGCATATATATTATGTGAATCCATAATTCTAGAAAAATGCCGAATATATAGAAGTTAAAAGTAGGTTGACACGGCAACAATACTATATAATCAAATAGGAGGCACACTTGTTATGCAAGAACAGTTAGTGAGTCAATTCTGTAACATGTTCTGCTGGTGGGAACACATAAGCTTTTGAACCCCACAAAATTCTTTTTCAATTATCCACATTTTGTTATTACTAACATTTCAAAGTGGTAAACTAAACTAGACTAAACTAGATGTTGTTTGCATCCAGGATTTCTGGCTTTTCTTACAAATCCCTCAGAATTGTTACGGTTCATTGAAAGCCTTTGGTATTACTAGCACAATGTTAGACACTATTTTTTTGGAGCTTCTTTCTTCATTTTATGTCTATGCCTCTTGATAATGGCTAGTACATCGTGATCCTAGAAGACGGGTCCAAGAAGGCTTTGTCTTGACAGAAAATGGGAGTCACTTTCCCAAGTGAGTGCCTGAAAACCTTTTACTTTATATCTCTGCATAGAACTTTAAAATGATCTGCTGTTTGAAAACTCTTTCTCTCTTAATCTAACAGAGTGAAAGTTAACAACATACATAAACTACTAATGGCATTAATCACATTTATAAAACAGTGAACTCATACTGCTATCCTCTCTACTACTGCAATGAAAAAGACAAGCACACAAACAGAGTCTAACAGAGTTGTGCAAAACATTCAAAAGAGATGCTTTGCATAATTAGTGCAAACGAAGCAATTCTGTGAAAGCAGACACTTTTTTTGTTAGTTTCATATGACTGTCCTGGCTTTTTCAGCATGTTTGTACATGCACATACATTTCCAATGGGACTGTTACCAAATGAAATAGCTTGTAGACACCCTTGGAGCTTACCCCCATGTCTCCTAGAAATGTTAAGCATGGAGGGATAAAAGTGATATGTGTGTCCTTGTGCCTCCTCAGAGCTTAAAATTTTATAACCACTGAAGGAGGTAAAATAGGTATGTGAACCCACATCTGATATTAATCCTTAAAATAGTATCAGTTCCAGCATTAATGGACTACACTCATTATCTTATTCAGTTTGATTGCATAAACAATTATCCTTGCTAAATATGCTGCTATTAATTAAGTTATTGGGGTATTTTTATGCAACTCTCAGACCCTAACAAATATTGCATGGCATATTTGTACGCAAATTATTGGGTCCATATTTGTACCCTATAACATATATTTCATAAACAAAGATGCATGTTAATAAAGATGCAATTATTAAATAAATAAATAATATGCTAATAAATATATATTTATATTACTTACAATACGTAGGAAATAAGGCTGTTTTAAGGTGCTATACATTTGATAAATATTTGTAATTTGTAAAATATCTATGCAGAGAATGTAAGAATGCATAAAGTGCCACTGTGTTACTTTCCCCATTTAAAGTGGCAAGTATTAAAATGTTACATATAATGACATTTTGAAAATGATAGGATCCTATACTATGAGGATATTTTAAGTATTTCTACTATACGTAGAAGCTAGAAGGAATATTGTTCATAGAAGAGAGGCATGGTGGTTTTCATGGTATTTAATTCCTCTCCAGAATGAATAAACGCAAAATGACATAAGATTAAGCAAATATATGTGTTATTTCAGTTGGTATTGATTCCAAATTGCCAAATTCATCTTTAAAGCCTCAGAGAAATATTTTTAATCTTTATTATAATCCATGGGAACGAGCTATGGAGGTTCTGCTATTTATCTTTAGTAGATAATTCTTCATCCCAGTTCAAAGTATTCCTTCTGCATATCTTTATTCAAATCTGCACACTATTGTATTATATACATGTGAACAGTTAATTCATTTTAAAAGATAAAAAATAATCACAAAGAGCTGGTATATTGTGAAAAGTAAAGGCCGCTGGGGACATAAGTTAATATATTAATTCAGTGAAAATGATCCTGATGATCTCAGTTTTGCCTCTAGTGGATATCTATTCCAGTCATAAGATTTCATTGCTCCTCCTGATGATCTGCAGTTATTTCCTGCTTTCATTATATGGAAATAGCGTGATTTTTTGTGAGTCAGTACTGAATGGAAACTATTATGGTTCCCTTAACTCTATTAGCAGTATGTGAAAATTATTTTGCCCATGTGTATTTTCAAAATCAAATTCCAAAGGACAAGCAAAATAAATACAAGAGAAAAAGCAAATTAGAGATTACTGTGTTCAACCGGTATCAAAAATTAGCAAACTAAAATTCATATTCTTTGCATTCAGCTCCTGCCCAGCTTTTGTAGCTTCAGGTCTGAATAATTTGCAGGCTGTCAAAACCTCTTGAACCTCTCTTTATAGTCTGAATGCATGACTGTCTCAGGATTAGTAGTATTTTATGTAGCACTGTTTTCTTCTAAAGTATAAATTAGCCACAGACAGTTTTTAAGGCAGGGGTGGAGCCAGTGGCAGGTCAGTCCTTGCTGGCCTTTTTCAACCTTTAAGATGATTCTGGTTCTTCAATGAGACCTCTTTCTATCACTTAAGCTAGCAGAACCCATTGGGATCTATCCAAGGTCCTGATCATTGCTCAATAGAACCAGATATAACTATATAAATGGGAAATTGACTGACCTTGATTTGATTTGTCATTTACTGATTTATCCCAACTTGACTTATTTTGATACCAGCTACTTTGTTAGACTTGAGTTACCATAACTTGATCCACATTGACCTGACTTATTATATTCTTATTTTCTTTAACCTCATTCACTGTCTCTGATTTATTGCAACCTTAATATTCCTGGCACGACTAGATTTTTTTCCTTGCTGACCCTAAGCCACAATGAAACAATGTTATTATAATTTGTGTTATACAAATTTGTGCTATACAAACAGTTCTTTTTAATTTTTAAAGGGGAAATAGTGCCACATCTCTTATTTACAGTGCAGTACAGTGTTGCATTCACACTAGGAATTAAAAACTTATTTATGTCTAATGGTTACTTCTAACTGTCACTTAATGAGACTAAGGCTGAAAATGAACATAATGCAAAAATTATATTGGATGTGATACTATATATTTTACATTTATATATCTAAGTCTAATATCTTGTCAAGTGGTCTGTCAAGTGGCCAATGCCTTTTTAAAAAAATGTATCATATTGTGCAGAATCAGAGCAGGATATCCTCATATATAGTAGA